TTGGGCAAGTTACTTCCAAACTGTCATGCATTATTTATTACTTGTTACCCTCATTTTAATGTAATTGATTACATTATAATATTACTGATTTTAAAATGTAAGGCATTACACTACTTTTGCATTACTTTAAGTTACTTTTACCAAAACAATTTCAATTTGAATTAGGTCATGTGATGCTCAGTGAACTCATGACACATCCAGAGGAAGGTGATGTGGTGTCTGAGCATTGCTGTTTAAAACAGTCAGATATAATAACAGTTCTTTATTAAATGAAAGCAACAACAAACTGTACTCTCAGCACGCTGCCATCTTATATTAACTGAGAAGGATGTGAGGTGGTGGGGGCTCCAAGCCTATTTTGCCTTGGTCCCCAAATTCCTTGATACGGCCCTGGATGTGGGACTGACTTCTGGGGTGATCTGATTCTATCACATGTATAAATATTAAATGCTTATAGATTATTGCTTTTCACTGGTAAAAATGTGTATTGTGGATAAATCTACCTACTTATATTTTCTTTTCAAGCACTTTGTTTTGCTTTCTTGATTTTATGTGAATAATTTCCTGCCCTTTCTCTCCCCAACCTTCCTGCATGCCACATGTTTTCACCGTCTTCCAGAAAAACTGTTTCCTAGATGTCCTACTTTCTAACCAATCAGCCAAAGGGATCTACCGAACGCAAAAAAAAAGCTTAATATGCGCTGCGCTCCAGCAGCAATGAGTTGAAATCACCGGCGGCGGGCGAGGGCACAGATTATGAACTCATCTGAGGCAAAGCACGTCAGAAAAGTACAGAAAGTACAGAGAATATGGGCTGATATAAACGATCGTAAGTGAATTATTTTGTTTTGGTGGAGCGATTTTGTGAATATAACAGCGGCCGCGCGCAGGACGCAGCTGGAGTATTTGAGCCGTCACCGCTGCGTCCTCTCTGCTCATAGAATGCCCGCAAAGCGGAGTCCATAAATGACGTCATATATGTATATACCGGATCTTTATTTTGAGCTTTCCGCAATTTTAATTGTTAAGAAACCCACATCTTGATTCTGGGTTTAAAAATGCATTGTAATAACCGCGTTACTGACAATTGTACCGAGTAAATATTATCATTTTCTTTCCCTGTAATGCCTTACATTACCACATTACAGCAAAAAACAATGCATTACAGTAATTAATTACTTTTGTACCGCGTTACTCCCAACACTGCTTAGCAGCCAATAGAAATGTGTTCTTTACTAACTTTACTTGGTTTAAAAATCTTACTAAAATAAACAGAGTGCTGTATTGCAAAACCCAATCATACTTGTTATGTAAATATTAGCTTTGTAGATATTTTTTACATATAGATATTTGTGTGCTAAAAAAACAAACTTAAATAATTTGTCATTCTTTATTGAAAAACAACAAAATACAGGTATACAGAAAGTGTGGGAAAATTAATAATGTGAAAGTATTGCTCTTTAAATGTAATATTATTTATCTTTAAAAAGAAAAACTCTAAAAATGTCCTGTACAGCAACATGACAGAAGAAAGGTGGTCTGTCTGTCAGAATGTGCTGAACAGATTTGCTCTATCAGGAGGAGCGTTTTGTGTGAGTTTATGTTACTGTAATATTGGTTTGGGTTATGTATCGCCACATTAGCATGTAAATGCTGAACCAATCTGGAATAAAGAGGGATGCTGACCAGTAGAGGTGGTTCACCACACTTTGCTTCCACAGTCTCACATCCTGGGTCGTCTTTCTCTTCCCCAGCTCTTCGATTTTCTTACCAATTCATGGAGAGCCAAATAGACCCACATTTAAAATAGAAAAAAAAATCCTGTAATATTCACTATATACATCCCCAAAGATTACCTTTTCCCATGTGCCAGGGGTCAAAGTAGTGACTGATTTCCTTTTATTCCTCCCGCAAATACTTCTGCACCCATGTGTGGAGGTCAGTCACAACTTGCTGCACATCGACCCCCCCTCTCCAAAAGTGTGCTCAGACTTCGCACAAATCCCTCCTTCTCCATTCGCACACTATTTCCAACTTCATTGCTCTGAAAATAAACATAATTCTCCATTGATCTGTGAATAATTAACCATGAAATGTATTGGAATCATCGGGTAATGTTGTACCTGTATGAGTTGGATCTCAATAACTTTGTTTCTTTTTAGATCCATCATGGTGTAGCTGCCATATTTGGCTGAGTGTCCTTCAGAAATGCAAGTTATTACTTAATTTACATTTGATAGCAAAGGAATAAAATTAATAAATTTAAACGTATTCACCAGGTGAACGTCACCACCAAGTGTCACAGGTCCAGATTCAGTAGCCTCCTGGATGAAATCAGCTTGCTCTAGCTGCCACTGCCAGCTCACTGTTGGAATTAACAGCTTTGCCTGATGTCGATAGAATGTCTGCTTGGACAGTCCCTGCACATTGAAGGCACCCAGGAACTAAAATATGAAAAGTTACGTCATGAAATGAGAGATGCACAGACCTTATCAAAACTAACCTAAACATTTTTGGCCTATACCTTAGAAATCTGGCTAAATGATGAGCCAGACTTTCTGGAAGATGAATTTCCATCATGGTCCCTGTGTCACAAGACACACAGCAGCTGTGAGCTCTAAACTGGGTGGCTATATAAAAAACAAAGAAACAGCACATTTATAAAAGTTTAAAAGAGCATAAAACCACGTGTAACAATAATCTGCAAAACAAATTAAAACTAGAAGGTAATAATAAAATGTTTACATAGACGATTATTAAAAATAATTCACCTTTGCTACGCCGGTAAGGCTCCACGTCAGGCTGGACAAGTGCATTCTTGCAGATTACTAAATCAGTCTGACAGCCAACGTCTTGGGTAGATTTAGCCTGAAAAAAAAAATAGAAGCACATTGTTGTTGGAGTTTATAAAGTCAGATAATATACAAAAGAAACTGTCAGATATAGGCGCTTTATAACATTCCTAGTGTGTGATCGTTATTATAACATAAAAGTCAGACACATATGATGTGGAGAGAGCCTGAAATGCGACCTCCTGAACAGAATTCCTCACAGAACTGGGTCACGCTGTGGTGTAAAGCTGGATTTCACGCTGTAATGCTGTCTGTCTACTAGTGCTGCGTTAGTTAAAGTCACTGTTAGCAGAATTACCGACTGACACAAAAACAACACAAATTTTCTCCGAGCCTGACAGTAATAGTCATGTGGACCGTTTCGTCTGCCAGGGCTTCGAGATATGTTCCGATTCGCCGCTGATTCTAACCTTACATCCCGTTCCACATTCTGTGAACTTGACAAATCAACCCGAAGGCAGTGCAGACTGATATTAGCTAAATTAAGTGAACCACGTCTCTCGAACTTTGCATTTAGGTAGGGTATTGAGCTGCAGTATTTCTGCGGTCAGGTCTCTCTCCGAGTCCGAGAGCTCTACAAGCGGTCAGCTCGCGCAGCAGCTAGGCGCCGCATCGATCAGACATGCACCGGGCTGACCGCTGGGGAGAACCGGGTGGAAGAATGGAACACAGAAGTGTCCCTCCAAGAGCTCCATCATATTTCAACCCATTTTTATGTTAAATGCACTGGGTTTTACCCTTTTACCCATCGACATATGCCCTTTTAATAATTTTACCGTATTTTACATCTAAATATCATGGTTAAACAGTACATGTTAAAATGATAGTTAGCTAGCTACTTCGATAAACTCAGCTAGTAAAAAGGCGGCAGTGACCTAAAATACATAAATATAATTTAACTTACAGAAAAAAATGAAGTAGAGACTCCTTGGACGCTCTATTAGTGCAATTAATACCACAGCAAGTCATTTTGTCCAACAATTGCACCAATAATATCCAAAACAGAATACACAAGCACAGAGACCCAAAATCCCGAAAGTTTCCAGGCCAGACCGAGGCTCTACTGAGGCCTTTCCACGGAGCTAGCTCTGTGGTCACGTGGGTCGGATGCTCATTAATTATACAGAATTTTAGGCTTTTAATACACTTAAACAGAAGAGTGATGTGGGTGGAACTGCAATTTTTGGTACGTCCGGGTTGAGACCAATTTCTAAGCCGCATTGTGGGGGTTTGCTTGTGACCTTTCAGAACAGGATGTAACTGTGCGTGTGTGTGTGTGTGTGTGTGTGTGTGTGTGGTACAGGTGAAACAGGAAAAATTGGAATATCCTGCAATTGTTTATTTCAGTAATCCACCTTATACTGAGAGACCATCTAAAGCAGTGGACCTCAACAGGCCACATCTAGCCCGCTAGACCTTTCCACCTGGCCCTCTAATTCTTTGAGCCCTAATGCCCCCCAACAGGGGAACTTTGAAGCTTAGCAGCAAAATTTCAGGTCCCAAATATCAAATATTGTTTACATTCTCCAAGCACAACTAAAACTACAAATCAACAGTTTAGATGGAAAACAAAGCTATTTTAAATATTAATAAATTAAGATATAATAATACTTGAACTTTATTTCAGAAGAGTATCTGGCCCTCACAGTTTATGCAGGAGAAAAACTCCGGCCCTTGAACAAATTCCGTTGAAGACTCCTGATGTAAAGGCTCAGGTGTTCTGGATTCATTAGCTGATTGGAGTGTGACACTTTAATATTAAACCTTTTCCCAATATTCTAATTGTCTGATATTTTGAATGTGGGGTTTTCATAAGCTGTAAACCATAATCATCACAATTATAACAAATGAAGGCTTGAAATATCCGGCTTAGCATGTAACGAGTCTACCTTATATATTAGTTTCATCCTTTTAAGTAGAATTACTGACTTTAATGAACTTTCGCACCATTTCTACTTTTTTATTTTCACCTTGAAGCTGTGGAGGAGTCCAATCATGCTGATGTAATTAGACAATTCAGGCATATGCAAACCAATCAGCAACTGAATGTGAGAAACTGGGAATCTACCTAGACAAACCAGAAGGGTGGCGTGCATGGACTCAGTCGCCCTTTTTTTTCACGACGGCAGCAGACAGACTAGATTGATCTTATTTTACAGGCTAAATCTTTATTCTGCAACAAGATATTGACCCAGAACAGACAGCTTGTGCAAACAGAGTTTAGTCTCAAAGTGAAGTTTACCCTGTTCAATAAGTCACTGGATTAGAGGTTGTATAGAGAAACAAACTGGGCATAAGGTAAGAACGTTTAGTTTATCACTAGCAACAGATGCAGATACATTTAAAACAATAAACTCTGATTTTATATGTATCATGTTATATTAAAATAAAAAAGAAAAGTTTTCCTTCGGTTCCAGGGAATTCATGTTGTCTGGTTTTGCTGAAAGTTCGCCCTCTTGTGGTGTGTTTCCGTCATTGTAATAACAGAAAATCTGTTTCCAGATAGTTTAGAACAATCTACTAACATCTCAATGAAATTTTATCAAAAAAATAATAAAAATAAAAAATACATGAAAAAACAACATCTTTTAAATTTCAGCTTAAAACATAATTACTCAGGTCAGGGAGGCCATTGCACCTTAAAGGCACGTTGAACCTTATTTTGTTAGGAAGTTTCCTCATAAGACTGAATAAATAAAAGCACATGCAGAAGATAGAAAATAGTAAAACATCAAAAACTTAACATAAATGATATGATCGGTGATGATTACTAAATGACATAAATCCCAGTAACCAAACTGGTAACAAAACAATGAATAAAGTACATTTTTGAATAGATTCATGAACCTTATGCATCCTTTTAATAACATAACTTACTGATATGTAAGGCAGCCTGAAATTACACATAACCCTTTTGTTTGATGTAAAATTAATATAATAAAACATAAAATATGTAAATGATCTACTTTTGGAAAAAATAAATAGAACTGCATTTGTATTCTACTATTTACCTGCACGGTTCTCTTCTTATGGAAGAAAGTTAGATGATTTTAAGAAATAAACATTTTAAGGTTTCAAAATTAAAAAATCAATAACTGAAAACAAGATCAAATAAAAGGTGCTTCAATTGTTCGCCTGTAAATGTTCGATCTGTTAGAATCATTCACTCAACACTTGATTGTAATATCGGACCACTGGCTTGGTTCAAATACAAATGAATCTCACAACATCTCAGTAGAAGACAGACTTAGTCATTATGAAAATGTAAATATATAAAAAATAATTCAGTTACAAACTCAAACTTGACATGGGACTCACAGTCTGATCAGCTGATTAGCAGTTAATTAACAGAACATTTTTAATCAGCATTAAACACATGCAATCATCACATACATACATGCTACCTAAGATTATCTACACATAAGCCGCAAAGAGGCTTCAAACACCCCCAAAAAGCTAAAAAAACCCTCATAAAAACACATTTGAAAGATTGGATTCAGGATGATTTTTGTGCAAGTTTATGCATAAATGCTAAAACACCATCTTTACAGACTGTTTTGATAAATAACTGCCCTGTGCATTGTTTTTCTGCCAAACCAGAAACCTCCTGATATGCTCTGAAAAACTCAAAGTCCAGTTTATAAGGCACTGAGCACATCTGAGACAAAAATAAAGGCTCAGAACATGTCGTTCTCTCCTTTCGGCATCTGTCTCTCCCTGACCTTTTGACCCCTTTGTCTGCTCCGTGCTAAAGCTCGTCCCTGTAGGCAGCAGACAGAAACTCGGGCGCAGATCCTTTCAGCATCTTGTGGGAACCCCTCCAATCGGTCCTGACCGAGTCGTTGTCCCACAGAGTGGACGTCTCTGTGTCGCTCACCCACTGAGCATCACCGGCGTAGTGACACGGCTGCACCAGCAGGGGGCGTGTACTGAAGGCTTGCAGGTTTCTGTTGAGGAAGTGGGACATGTAGTCCTCACTAGAGAAGGATACCAGAATTAGAGATCACAAATCTAAATATTTTAGTCTTTTAAGCCGTTTTTTGCAAAAGGGATTTTGTTGTGATTTATTTTAAATAGATCTGGCTCAACAGGAGATGGAAAGAGTGGGGCTGAAGCAAATCGCAGAAGTCAGAGATGAAAAGCAGAGAACGTGAGCTGGCCCTGAGCTGGTTCCCACACTCTTCTAAAAGCTCTGGTTTACAGAACTTTAAGGGAAAAAATGCATTTTGATTTTTATAGTCAAACACAGATGGAAAAGGTATTTGAGTGAAATTCAGCCAGATGGATGAAGCTAAAACATTTAGAAAATTAGTAACAGTTCCTGTAAATCAAGACACATCTGACAAAGTAAGGGTGGGGAATACAACAAGATTCAATTACAGTGTGTGTGTGTGTGTGTGTGTGTGTGTGTGTGTGTGTGTGTGTGTGTGTGTGGTGGTGGTGGTGGGGGGTGGTGGTGAAAGGGAGGGGGGTCTGTCTATATGTGTGGAGGTGTGTGTGTGTGTGTGTGTGTGTGTGTGTGTGTGTCTGCTCTCTCTTCTCGATCCTGTGAGTCTGATAAAACAAAGTGGTGATGTTTGCAATTTTCTTACTTATTAGCAACAACTATAATGATACAGATTAGTAGTAGTAGTAGTAGTAGTAGTAGTAGTAGTAGTAGTAGTAGTATATTTAGCCATCTCAGCCACCCCTGAAAAAACCTTTCAGGAAATAAGGAAGTTGATGTAGTTTAAAAAAAAAAGCATAGATTTTTCTTTGTCTTGCAAAGCTACCAGCTCTGTAGCATACTTTACAGCTAAATGCATCCAACAAAGTTGGTTTAGTGTACAGCGCCTTGTTTGGTTGTAATGCCTTGTGAATGCGCTTTATAAATAAAATTGGATTGGAAATGCAAAATTGTTCACAAAAATGATGCTAACATGCTAGCAATTAGCATAATGCATGAAAACAGCATGGCTGCAACCCTTTAGCCTAGAAATCAAGCCAGACAGCCATGCTCCATTAGCACCTCAGCAGGCCCAAATAGTCTTGTGCCTTGCCAATCACAGCATTCTGTTGGTTTGGTGGACCAATCACAGCACTTTGGTGGGCGGGATGTTGCTGCAACGAAGTGGAACAACAAAGATGGTGACGGCTCATTTGAAAAGACTTTGGCATTAACTTTGGACTAGTTAAACTTGGGTTTTTCTTTGAGTCAAATGCAGATAGATGTACTCAAGTTCTTTATTTCTACAAAGGATGTATTTGAGTCTTCTTCATCAGTGTAATGCGGACTCCCCCGCTGACCGACATCCGCAGCAGGGAGTGTTGTCCAATAGCATACAGAGACAGTTCACAACCGTAGATTCTGACCCACGACTGAGTTCTCTCTCTGTGGGTCAATGCCAGATTTTATATTCACATTTATAGGATGCCTTGCTAGGCTAGTAGCAACCATTTAAAAATAAAATCCATTTATGTGAAATATTCATAGATTAAACAACTTGTTGTCTTTTTCAGACCAAAATGTGGTTTTTACATATTTATATTTTCATTTATGTACAAAATGTTTTTATGGTATTACAATTTAAATACTCACTATACTTATCATTTAGGATGCATTATTTGTTGATGGAGTGAAGATATTAAACCGTACTTTTTTCGTTATAAACTGATATGGCTGGATTTTATTTTGAGAGTTTTGCAGCAACATGCTTCTGTAAAGATCAGCCTCAATAAGGTCAAATGTTTAATTTGCCAGTAGCACAAACAAACCTTGAGCTGAAAGTAACTGATAAATGTACCTAGCTTAAATCATCAGATCACTTTCAGAACATTTCAGAAACCAACCAGAAACGTTGCATTTGCTGTCTAACCAAACTGGACCAAAGGATCTAAATCCCTCCCACGTTTTAGGTCATCAACAGTCTGTATTGACCAAAAACAGCCAGGTCAGTCTAAGTTAACACTTGCTGCAAAGACGTGTGTGCAGCAGGAAAAAGAAAATCTCTTTTTTATTTTGACATTTTCAATTTTAGCTCGACAACCACCACGTATTATAGCCAGTTATTTTCAGAAAAGCCACAGCATTCACTCTTTAATCTCGAGCCCAGTTAAATATAAAGTTCAGACGACTATAGTAAAGAATGTTAAACGTCTGCTTTTAGATTAAGAGCCAGAACAGAGAAGGATTAACCCAAACGGCTTTCTTATTTAAGAGATTGTATGGAACAGTTGTTTTCTTTGACCAAAATGTTGATTAATAATGAATCGTAATAAACCCTAAAGTGTTCTTACTTGGGGTGTTTGTTGTACATGATGGGGAGGAACTCATCGACGGGCAGCATCTTGGAAAGCGGCTCGGCGTTGAGCAGTTTCTGGGCTCCCTGCTGGGAGATGATGTACGACAGGGTCCAGTAGGAGTAGTCGGCCACCACCAGGTTCTGAACGTTCTCCACCGCCGCCTCCTTTCCAGGATTCACCTGCTTCCTGCCCAAGTATCTGTGGAGAGTGGAGAAACCAGCCAGGACGTGATTTCTAACATCTGTTGCTGTTTTGTTTGGTTCTTTTCATTTTTAGAATGTGTCTAAATCCAGGAAAACGAAACCTTTTGGCAAAAAGGATATTTTGAGTTTGTGTCCAAACTTTGATCTTGTGGTTTGTTTTGAATAGAAACATGTGGTTTTTGTTCCATAAAGACAAAAATAAATAAATAAATAACTCACTGGACACAGAAAAACAGGAAGGAATTTACATCTTGAGGACATTCGACTTGTTTTAAAACTGGTACTAAACTGATTCTTCAAGACATTTATTTATAAGCCAAGCTGCTTTAATTTGAGATTGACATCTCAAGAAACCAAAGAACTGAGGAACTCCTCACATGATGTCCCAATCCAGCTCCACCAGCTCTACTTCCTCCATCAGCATGAGCACTCGCCGCTTGAAGTTGGCCTCAAAGCGAACGTCGTCCTCGAAGATCAGCGCTTTGTCCATTTGTGTGTCCACAATCTAAATATGAATATAAATATGGAAGACCATCCATCAGGCTGGACACCAAGATCTAGATTCTCTCATAAAGTTTTAGATTTGCTTAAAACTGTTTAAACACAAAATGGCTCGTCACATAGTGTTGCATATATGTTTTCATGAATAATGAAACGTACGTTTTTGGAGTAATGACACTAAGAATTCTTATAGTTGCTTAGATTTAATACAAGACTAAATAAATAAAAAACAGATGCATGACTTCACTGGTTCTGAGAAAATGTGTTTGAACACATGAACAGCTGGGTAATTGATGCAAAATAAAGTTGTATGTAGAAAGTCCAACACTATGCTTGTGTACTCGTATTAGTAAAAGTACTCCTATACCATCAATCCAGTACCATTGTAGCATGTCGCTAAGCTAACAGCATTTTGAAAACTGCTGCAGAAACACATCAGGACAGCTGATCAAAGCTCTCTTGAGATGGGCTTTGAAACCACCCAGTCGTGGAGCGAAATCTACGGTTGTCTCTCAAATAGTCTCTGTAATTGGACAGCGCTAGGGCCAATCAGAGCCATGAACAATGTGATGTATTCACTGCTATTGAAATCAATCAATGAGGCAGTCCACCATTCACTGTCAAAGAAGAACAAACAAATGCACCCTTTTACAAAAGCAGCAGCACGGAAGGAGCTGTGCTGCTGATCAGTCCTGAGAAATAAACCTGTGTGAAAATCAGAGCGCCGGTGTGGTGTGTGTGACCATGGTAACGGTCTTGTTATAACAATGACACAAATTGTGCTAATGTCGTTGGTTTCACGTTTCTGTTTACGCTGCTCCTCAGAATAAACGGAGTATTCGTCAGTCTCCAAAGATGAACGTGTCACGGCGATTCTTCAGCATTGATCTGCAAAACTGTGTGACGTCCACAGCTCGTTAGCTATTTCAAACAGATCTGGAAGCTTTGAGCTAAACAATGTTAGCTTTGAGATGTATCTATTTTTTATTAATCTGCACAAAGATGTCTTAGATGATCTAAAGTAGTATTATTTAGTCAGCTTAAATCACGGAGATACAGCTCTGGATGATTGGAGATGGGGATCTTGCCCTCCTGCCTGTGTGTGTGTGTGTGTGTGCGTGTGTGTGTGCGCGCGCAGTTACCTGGAGGTAAACAATAACATTCAAGAGGCCTGCCTTGCCTATTTTATAATCTGAGGGAGAGAAACCTTCCTGTAGGGCAACAATTATCAGTTCGGATTGGATGATTGGGACGGTTTTCTCTCACCTCCTTCCAGATGTGGTAGTGACTGAGGAAGCAGCCCACCTCCCCTTTAGTCAGGGTGCGCCCGGAGAATGGGTCGTAGTAGCCCGGCAGCAAGTCCACACCCAAGATTTTAATGTCACTGCTGTTGAGAGCACTACACACACACACACACACACACACACACACACACACACACACACACACACACACACACACACACACACACACACACACACACACACACACACACACACACACACACACACACACACACACACACACACACACTTTAAAAAAGTGCTTTACTTTCTTACTGCAGGAGAGTTGTGTATTTTTGTTCCTGCAATGAATGTTGCTTCAGTTTTTATCATCCTCTTATTTTAAGAGCATTTCTTGTGGGTGCTATTATATTTTAATAATATGGATGTTTTTTTTCTTCAGCTTTGGTGCTTCCATTCGTACTTTGATCTAAGTTATTATAAATCATGTTTTGACAAACAGAAAACAGTCTTATATGATGAACTGCTGAATCTCTTGAGAAAAAAACACTATGAGGCTATAAGGCTACAACTAAATCAGCATTTAATCACCTTCACCAAATATAAAGAGTCCGAGGTCTCATGTCCAGACCAGACTTAGAGAAACGTATTCATGGTTTTATTTCTAGTTGGCTGGACTACTGCAATGGTCTCCTAACTGGTCTTTCTATAAAAGCTGTGAAGCAACTGCAGCTTGTTCAGAATGCTGCTTCTAGAGTCTTAACAAGAGCTAAGAGAACGGAGCACATCACTCCTGTTCTTAGATCTCTACACTGGTTACCAGTAAACTACTGAATATATTTCAAAGTGCTCCTACTAGTTTATAAATCACTCAGTGGCATGGGACCAAAACAACAATGCTAAATCACAACAGCTGCAGATTTTTCTGCTTTCTGAAACTTAGGAACAAATAAGCGAGGATGTGTGTACCAATTATCAACATTTTAGTGTCTGCTTCATTTAGTTCTCTAGAAGAACTTCTTCCATGCACGTCTGAGAGTTGCTCACTTTCCATCCACTGCGTCCACCACCTTGACATCAATCTCCAGCTCGTTTAAGGAGAACAGCATCCTGTCCCTTCGGTCGGTCCGGCGCCGCAGATTAATCAGATAGATCTGAAGATGAAAGGACAATGGGTACAACTGATTCCCGATACCCAGAGCTTGGTTCTGTGATGGTTAGTTTTAGACATGTCTTACATCTACAGTGACCAATCTCACCTCGTCAAATCCCATCAAGTCCCTCTGTTTTGGGAACATGTGAACGAATCGAGATGGATACATGGGTGGACCATCGACTGCAAAAGAAAGAGGAGACATGATTTAGAAGCTGATTTTGTCCCTTCGACACTAGTGAAACTGTTTTCTCACTCATGGACTCCAGATGGACATGGACGAAGTTGAGGCGATCGTCCTCCAGGCTGAAGTGAGGTTTGGCTGGAACGTTCAGGTAACCATAGCGCTCCTTATTGCACACGTACATCTGGATCGCTGAGCAGCAAGAAAAATATCAGTCAAGCTGATGAATAAACATGCTGGGATTTATTTTATTTTATTATTTATTTTTCTTCTTTGGCAAACACCTCCATGATCAGAATGATTCCATCATTACTGTCATGGCCTGTGCTGAGTTCACCTCTGTCTGGGATCTGAGTCTTTCTGTTGCAGGTGGGCGTGTCCCGGAGAGCAGCTGCTGCAGATCGTCCCATCAGTGGTCAGGGGATTTAAGGAGCAGCGTGATAACTCACCGGTGCAGGATGATTACTCTGTATTGGGTAGTGTCTAGCCTGTGCTCTTGCCTGTTTAAAGACTTGTTTGCTTCCTAACCAAACCTCACTCTTCTTCAGTACTCCTTTGGATCAACACTGCCTGCCAGCCACGTCGCTCACCTCTGACCGCCTGCTCTCCACCGCTCACCTGCCCGTCTGGACACATTTGGACTCCTGTTCTCCAGTGCTCAGCTCCCAGCCATTGTCTCTGTCTCTCAACCATCCCGCTCAGCCAGACCTGACTTGCCCTCCTCTTGAGGTCTTAAAACATCCAGGAAACCATAAGCCCCCTCTCACTTGGTTTTGTTTACACGTTAACTTCAAGATACTCATTCCTGTTTCCACTTCAGAATCTATTGGAGCCTCCAGACGTCGGATCGCCACATTCACCTCAACCAAGAATAATAAATAACATTTTTTTTACTTACTTTCAGTCTCCCGTGGTGATTCTACATGTCGTGGGTCAAAAAGCTACACCCAAACATGACAATTTAGGTAATTTTACCAAAACTTGAACTAAAATCTCAATAATGAGTTTAAAGGAGAGACTTTAATATAAACATGGGAAGTTATGCACTATTAATCTCAGCTGTTGTGGATAGTAGGGCTGAAACAACAAATCGATAAATCGATACAAATCGATGAGGAAATGCGTTGGTAATGCATTTCGTCATTGACTCATTGTGTTGTACAACTTTTTTGTGTCGTGCAACCTTCATGTAACAGTCAATGCACGCAGCTCATCTGTATGCGGCAGCAGAGCAGACCGAGGCAGGTCAGAACGAAGAGAGACATAAGTTGCCAGACTGGCGATGGAAAAAAAAAAAAACTCATGTGTGCAATAAATTGTTTAAAAGATGCAGCACTAGTGTGACATATTTTCAAGTTTTTTTTTCCCCCCAGAACTTTATTGAACAAAGGTGAGTTGCTTTTTACTGGCGCACAATGTGCTAATCTAGGTGCTGCGGAGGAAAACACAGAAACCAGAAAGGACGCAAAGGCAGAAAAAGTCCAAAGTTCCAGCTCAGTGGCCTAGTGGGAGAGTGTCCGCCCTGAGACTGGGAGATCAGGGTTCAATTCCTGGTCGTATCATACCAAAGACTTTGAAAAAATGGGACGCAATGCATCCCTGCTTGACACTCAGCATTAAGTGGTTAAACCACCAAATGGTTCCCGAGCGCGGCTGTGTCTGCAGCTCACTGCTGCCCCAGGGGATGGGTCAAATGCAGAAAACAAATTTCGCACACACATTAGTGTGTGTGTGACAACTAATGGAACTTTTACTTCAACTTTAAAGTTTGGGATCAACAGTGTAACTATGGGCAGATTAGCTAATGCTAGCGGGTAGCAGGCACATGATCAAGTGGGTTCCGAATAAACACGATGGTTGTGAAACTAAGAATATCTAAACTTGAAAGTGGAAGGAAAGTCCCCATCATCCCGTCTATTAGCTGTTTGCAGCACTATGGAGCAGAACCGCAGCAGTCAGTTTGCTGCTTCGAGTCTGCTCTGGTCAACAACGCTGCAGGAGTATGGCAAGCCGCTGTAGCATGTAATTCCCAAACAGTCGATCTGTGAACATAATTTAAACTGGATTATTGCCAACTAGGGCTGCAACAAACGATTATTTGGATAATCGATTAATCGGATGGGGTCTCGACACGATTAATCGATTAATCGGATTACATGGGGAAATTTTTAAAAACTGCTAGGGAAACGTTATTTCTCTCCTTCCTTCACTTTATTTAACACAACATTATTAGAAAACAGTTCAATAGCAGAAAAACAACATGCCATCACCTAAATTGTCTTATAAGGTGTATAGACAGAGACCCTAAGCTACATCTATCTGTGACCTAAAATGCTTGGTCCAAGTTAAACAGCTTAAGGGCAATTCTCATCTGTTTTGTTTGATCTCATCTGTTGACATTTATTTTAAATGTAATTAAACATAGGCTGTGAATTAATCAAAATTGATCACTATTTCCAAAAATGACTGAAAAAATACCAAATAAAACAAAAGTAAATGAATGCCATCCTCCTTGCGATGATGCCCTGGGCAACTGCCATAAAGTCACATCAAGAAATGCTGCTGATCATTCCAATGATCCCAAATAGACTCACATTAGGCCACATGAAAGCAACTGAACCCAAAAATATATTAACCAGTATATAACTGCACTCTCACACAACACGCCTGCAGCAACAGTTAGGACTCCTCCCTCCCTTTGAAAAACGTTTTTGCTTCTGAGGACATTGTGGTTGTAAAACCACATGCTAGTAGTCTGGCCCCGGTGTGATCAACCAGTTTCTGCGGGAATGTGACGGCGGAACCAGGGCCAGATTAACACTTTGTTGTACCCTGGGCAACAATATTCAAGGGCTCCATCATCACAACCCAAGGATCACCATAATGTGGTCACATACAGAATATTTTACTGTAATATGCAGTAAATATACTCAATACTTGAATGCCTGACAACACGTAACCCGCCCAGAGTAACCTTTGACCCACCTCGTGTGGACTGACCAATGAGGAGAGGGTCTTAACTTGAGGCCCTCTCTTCATTGGTCAGTCTGCATGAGACTGACTCTCAACTGACGTTCAGTCATAGGCAGCGAAGCGTCTCTGTGCAGTGCAAAAGCCCGGGTGGACAGTTTGTTTAATGTAGGGTGATCATATTTCCATTTCCAAACAAGAGGACAGGGGATCTGTGCCTATGACGTCACACTATGGCAACGCCACACAAACCATGTTGGGACCCATTTTTTGTAAGAACTAAATTAATATGAGATTCTGCCAATTAAAGGGCTCTAAAACAATTCATATGTAAATATTTTTGCATATTTAATGCAAAATCTAATTTTTCTGCTTTAGTGCTGCAACAAGGTTTTATTAATAATAAATTATTATACCTTTTGTTTTACTACAGCATCGGTAAGCTTCCTGTGCACAGATTATTAAGGATGCTTGTTTCAGCTGTGAGATTAGACGATAGGATCAATGAAAAAATAAGTTGTCCCACACTCCATGGAAACTTTCAGAGAATCCACAAATAGTGGCTTTCAAATGGTTTTGTTACTTTTTGCAAGTTTAAAAAAGAAGCAGATGAGACAGCATGTCTGATAATTTAGTTTTTCATCTGATAATATTAGAACATGTCAGTAATGGGGGGGGGGGGGGGGGGGGGCATTTTGCCTTGGCCCCCAAAATGTCTTGAAACGGCCCTGGGTGTGTGACTGAGTTTTGAAGGTGATCTGAATTGTATCAGATGTATAAATATAACATGTGTATAACTTATTGTTTTTTACTGGTAAAAACGTGTAGTGGAGATAAATCTACCTACATTTTACTTTTCAACACTTTGTTTTGTTTTCTTGTTTTTATTGAACTATTTTCCTGTCCTGTCTGTCTCTCATCTTCCTGCATCTCCTCTTAATTCTCCAGAAAATCTGTTGCCTGGATTCTTACTTTTTCACCTCATCAGTTACTTTTGAGCAGGTCAAAGGGATCTCCTGACCGAAAAGCGCAGAGCGCGTTTTCGATGCTGCGTGAGGTGACATCACCACAGCACAGGTGATGAGCTCCGCAGTAGCGAGCTTCAGGCACAAATAAGACAGAAAATAGAGAACATGTGCGGACATGAACGATCGTGTGCTAATTATAGTTTTTTGGTTGCGCCACTTTGAGAATGGACCGTGCGCTGGAAGCAGCTGCCTGGATCGCTGTGCAACAATGCGGAACCGGTTCGCAGCAGCGCAAGTCTGCAGGCTCTCCCTTGCGCTGATCTGCCGGTACCGGCTCTCCCTCACGCTGATCTGCGGCTCTCCCTCGCGCTGATCTGCCGGCTCTCCCTCGCGCTGACCTGCGGCTCTCCCTCGCGCTGATCTGCGGCTCTCCCTCGCGCTGATCTGCCGGCTCTCCCTCGCGCTGATCTGCGGCTCTCCCTCGCGCTGATCTGAGGCTCTCCCTCGCGCTGATCTGACTTGCTCTGGTCTGCGCGCAACGGCGGGCGGGAAGGGGGGGCGCTTTTGGAAGAGTTGTGCGACACAACGAATCGATGACGCAATTCGTTGCCAACGCTTTTAGTAATCGATTTTCATCGAATTTATCGATTCGTTGTTGCAGCCCTATTGCCAACCAGTACGTAATAGTAATGCCACCGTTACATGTTTAGCTATAAGTTATTTCAGCCGCTTGTATACGTGATCATGTTCTTTTGGACACTACCCAAAGCTCCTTACCAGTGCTGAGGGTAGGAACGTAGATTGGTTATCGCCTTCTGGCTCAGCTCTCTCTTCACCATGACAGGCCGGTACAACGCCAGCATCACTGCAGACGCAGCATCAATCCTCTTATCGATCTCCTGCTCCATCTTTCCCTCACTCGCGTACAAGACCCTGAGATACTTAAACTCCTCCATTTAAGGCAGAAAGAAGAACCCGGAGAAAGCATTTCACTCTTTTCCGACTCAAGACTCGGATTAGAAGTATTAGACCATCATAAATGCCTTTTTATTAGTTTTTTTAATGCAAATTTGATTCGCTAACAATTTCTAATCGCCCTCAGCAAATGGAGGCCAGTTTATTCTATAAGATCACAGGGATACTCTAGAAAAATCTTGTTTTTATGGTTCATCTTGAATGGAAATTTGAATCATGACTGCAGAACTTGTGCAGGTTGTTCCTCACATAGGTGGCCGTTTTAAGTGAAATTAATCAAAGGTCTAACCAACAGTTTAGTGGGTCTTCTGAGCTTTTTACATCACCAAACTCATTAATACCATCTTGTTTATCCAGTAATCTGTTAATATTCTTCCCAGGTTAGCTCTCATGGTTTTATTCCATGCTGCCTCAGTTTCACTAAGAGATCCCACAGACTTGCAACAGCTTCCAGTGACAAATAATTCAAAATTTCTCTTTTATTAGACTCCTGCTTGATTAATATTTAATTTCTAATTTCAAAACCCTGCTTTCAATTTAGAGGAGCGTGTGCAACATCTTCTGTCTTTAGCACACAGAATCCACCTTTGTTTCTGTAAACAGGTGGAAAAATCTCAACAAGCCTTTTCTGTAAAACCTAATAAATAAAGATGACAAACCTGCGGCGCGGCAGGAGAAGGCAAACACGATGATGTCATCGTAGGACCATGAGTAGTCCTCATGAGGCGGGTAGAACGCCAGCTTCTTCATGCCCTCCTTCCTCAGATCCAGCAGCAACGTGCTGTGGACCATCGGTACCGGGAAGCAGCCCACTCTGTGGCGGTAACGTGTGGGGAAGTACTCTGCTGTTCGACGATAATAACCCTAAAATGTAATAAAATGTAAAAAAAAAAAAGAAGTGAGAGACAAGTGTTAATTAAAAGCACTGATGAGTAACAAAGAAACTATCAGATGTTTTGGAGATCAGCTGATCACCTGTGGCGTGATCCCACACCAGAAGTTGGAGTATGCTCCCTGGGAGTCCAGCATGGGGGCGACCACCGACTTGTTCTCTGCTATCAGCAGGTTGAGGGTGTCCGGGTTGGTCAGGATGTTGTCTGTGTCTGCATACTGGAACAGAGAGACAGGACTACAGGTGCTGAAAGAACAAATCCAGCTTAGTGCAGAAAAACTGACTAGAGTTCATTAAAAGATGACTTTAGAACGTACCAGGATGTAGTCAGCCCAGCGTTTTCTAGCAAAATTGAGCGCCGCTTGTTTTAGCTTCATCACATACTCATATCTGCTGTTGGGCCAGTGTTTAGGCCCCAGTTCTCCTGCGTAAGACCTGTGGAAAAAGTCATGATCACAGTTGCATTAGTTTCATCAGTTATTTCCTTTAATTCCTTAAATGTGGTGATGCACAAGTAAGATCTCATTAATCCTTCAAATTAGAAGAGCAGACACATCTGGAAAATCAAAATAAACAAGTTAGATTCTGATTCTAAATGCAACAATTACAAACAGAAGGGGGAAAAAAGGAAGAAATAACCTTTTTCAGCCATATTTTAAATTATATGTTCCTTAAAGCCTTACGTTTGACAGGCTTTTAAAACAAATATCATCTTAAATTGACGATGTGTGTTTTCCCTGGCTATAAGGGGCAGTACATACCTAAATCATTGCAAGCAGGCAGAATATTTGTGCTCGAGCAAGACCTTACTGATGCCCATTAGGGTCAAAAATACCCGGGAGCACAACCTCCAGCAAAATGACAAGTACATCAGACTCCCTTTCATCACTGGCAACTAGTGAAGCGGTAAAACAACATTTATGAATGGTGAACGTTTTGTAACCATTTCTAACAAATCAGTAAATGCATTTTGTCCTCAAGGGTTCCCATAGAAGGAAACATGGTGTCTAATATGGCGTCGCCCAGAGATGCAGGGAGTTTCTCAATGCCATGGAACCTTGCCTTGATGTCTTGGTCCCGCCCCGGTTGCCTAGGAGATACGTCATCAGGAGCCACCAAGGAATGTTCCAATGTTCATGTTCTACCGAGGTGTGTGTTCTCTGTTTGTTAGCCGTTTAGCTAGCTGAGCAAGGATACATTGGAGGTGCCTTGTAGCCTGGCCTTGGTCAAAAATTTCCCAGAATACACTGCGGTTTTCTCAAAAAGATGGCGGATCAGAAGCCGGCAGCTACTTCGGGGGCAAATTTTAAAGATTAAATGTAAGTCAACTAAATGTAGCTGATATCTAAAATGTTTTTTTTTAAATATCCAAAGCAGTTAGCTTTGTTTGGTTAGTTGCTTAGTAGTTGTAGCTTCGGTGGCTAGCAGGTAGTAACTCACTTTCATATTTAATTTAACCAATATATACACAATTAAAAAGTAAAAGACTTGTTATACATTTATATTGAAACTTATACATATAAAATATAATGTTACCTCCCATGTCACGTGATGCAAGACTGTTCCATTTAACCGTTTTCTTTGACCAAAGAAGGACAGTGTGCTCGTAATCAAGGACTTTGACAATGAGAAACACCCGTTGGACCCAGCCCCATGTATTTTACACCCAATTTTTATGGTTATATGTTACAAAGCTGCCAATATTTTTCAACAACTAGGCATTATTCAATTCATTTTAACAACCCTTTGAAGGCTGATGCCAGAGATTAACATCTGTTTAAAGGTCAACTTTACTCATATTGTAATACATTTTCAGCGGTCTCTAGTAGAAACGAATACCTTGTAAGTTGTTCTCAGACGGAAAAATACTCCAGTTCGCCTGTTTGAGGATGAGGGAGTAGCTTAAGACAACAGGATTTGGTCTCGTTTCCTGACATTTGGACATCTCGCCTCTGATTGGCTAACAGCAACGTGACTCAATTGACTCAGTTTGCTTTGCAACGTTGATGTTTTATATCCACAAATAACACAAGCCTGATGGAGTTCTGCTGTGTTGTGGAATTGCTAAAGCTAATGGTTAGCTTCTACTAGTTGAGACGTTCTCTGCTGATTCCTGGAAACTAATCCAACAACAGCCTTCCTTGTTGTGATTCAAGATGGGAGAGTCCATGAACGCTAAGTGACAGTGTGACATACATCTGTCAAGCTTTTCAGATCCTAAAGTCTCACCATCTATTTCCCATCAGAAGCTAATGTGGGAGATAGGTGTAGACCTGCATGAAAAACTCAGGGTGATTATAATCAAGAATAATAATTATAAAACTGTTTCTCAGTGAACCTGCTTTTTAATATTAATCTGCTAAAAAACATGTTAAATACTTTGAGAAAACAGACTCATTTTAGAAATAAATGGGCCGCGCCTGCAGACATCTGTATAGTGTTGTAGATTCATCAACAAGCAGAAACGTGTCATATTTTAAATTCATGCAAAGAGCAAACAATTCAGATTTTTGCCAAAACCCAATCTGAAGTTGCTTTTTGAGAAGCAACACCATCATAGGTGCTTCTGCCTTTTCATCCTATGAAGGCTAACTGACAGAATCGGGTAAATATCAACAAACTCGGGTTGCAGAAGTGGACTTACGTGGGCTTGTCCATCGGTCTCCACTCAACATAATGGTAATATTTCTGCATGACAGTCAGCCACTCCTTCAGGATGGCTGTGGTGTTGTCAGAGTTGTGATCTGTGGCTGCCCTGAGAAGAACAGAGAAATCAGCTGAAGATCTCCAGATCAGATAAACACAAATCTAAGAGCCAACCATTGAGCAGAGGAGAGGATATAAGCACTAAAGTTGTTCCTGTTTCATCCTCAGCAGGAAAAATTCAAGAATATTTAAACCAGGGAAGAAGCGATGATCAAAAACCAAAGTCTCAATTCAGAGAGGAACATTTCTTAGCTAGTTCCAACAGAAGCTCTGCCATCAGGATGAGTTTTTAACACCTCTAATAGAAAAGACTACAATATTTAAACTCTTCAAATAAGAACTTAATGAATGCAACCCCAGCTCAAAAACTACATAATTGTTATTCAATAATGAAAGAAGAATCTTTAAATCAGTGTGTATGTTGTGAAACCCTCAATCAGAGCTGCATGGTGGCATTTTTCCCTTTCAGCAAAAAGGTTGCAGGTTTTAATCCCAGTTGCTGCAGCTTTTATATGTAGAGCTGGTATTTTCATCCCATGCATGGATGGGATTTCTCCATTTGCTCTGGTTTCATCCCACAGACCAAAAACATGTATGCTAGGTTAATCTGTGACTCTGAATTGTCCAGGTGGTGTGTGTGTGTGTGTGTGTGTGTGTGTGTGTGTGTGTGTGTGTGTGTGTGTGTGTGTGTGTGTGTGTGTGTGTGGCTCGTATATTTATGTCGATGTTATGGCTGCCTATCATGGACTGAATACCTATCCAGGATGTCCCCTGCCTCTCGCCCCAATGGCCACTGGAGACAGGTACCAGCTCACTGTGACCCTACTGATGTCTAAGCAGTTAAGAGGAGTTTTGGTGTTTTTCTCTAGAGCTAGACAACATTAGAACCAACCTTGATCTTTTGATTGCATTAATAAACTTCATAAGGGGAAATTTTAAACCAAAGTTAACAAGTATAATGTATTTCATAGTTTTAAAACTACAATAAATTGCCCAGATGCTGAATTTTTTGTGGAATTTTCCTTTAACAAATCGGAAGCTGACTTCAGCCTCCGATCAGTTTAAAAAAATACATCTTGTTTGAATCCAAAGAAACTAGAAAACTGTTAACCAGAACCGAACGTTTAAGTCCAGTCTGGACAGAAACGGGGACAGCGAGCAGGGACAGCTTCAGGTCATGTAGATACCGTGGACCTTTCAGATGAACCAGAGAAGAAGCCTGTTCTATCCTGCTAAAGGACCCACCAGACTGAGATGCGCTCTTTGGGATAGTTGAGTCTCTCCAGAGCTCCGAGGTAGTAGGGCAGCGAGTGCGCAGCGTTCCTGGCCAGGAGCGCGATTACCACGGTGGGAGGCTGCATTTTAGACTCCTCCGGATACTTCTCCTCCGAAAAGTAACATTCAGCCCGGAAAAGCAGTGCTGCTAAAACTAGAAGAGGAAGTATCATGATGGTGGCTGTAGTTTAAAGTAATCCACGGCGCCTCTGAGCTGCACGTAGACGCTGGACGCGTCAGCAGTCCCAGGGAAAAAAAGAGGAGGAAGAAAGAGGGCTTTCCCAAATGTTTCACCTCCTACTTCTCCCCAGAGCTCCTAGAGCTCAGCTTTAACCCTTTCATGCACGGCAGCCACTACACCTACTTGAGGAAATGAGGGTATATTTGTACAGAGGCTGTCAAACTTGATCCTCATTCCAAAAGAGTGCCCCCTACTGGAGATGACCCCGTCCTAAAAAGTGAGATGAAACCTGCTGCTGGCTTCATTTGGCTTTACCACTCTCACAAATGAACATGTCTCTGTAGAATGAATTAAAAAGAGAAGTTTGGATAATACATGAAAAAATAACACATGGTGACAATGAACCCGAGTTATTGTGGTGATGAGCTGGAATCTTTGGGATTCAAAGAATCAAAGCAATCCATTAGACGTTTTGGTCACGATGCCTACTAATACAGACTGTTACTACAGGGTAAATACTGAGTACATATCAGGGTTGCTAACTTGGAGTGATGTTAATTTGTTTACTTGTAAAGAGGGAGGATTAGCCATATACAGAGGGGGCATTGCGGAGAGGATAAGGTCTGATTAGTCTGACAGAGAAAGTCCAGTTATAGTGATTTTGGAGATAATTAGACAAAGCAACAGTTTTATTTACATATATACATACATACATACATACACACACACACACACACGCACACACACACACACACACACACACACACACACACACACACACACACACACACAGACACACGTATGCACGCGCACGCACACACACACACATACATGCACACGCACACACACACATACATACATACATACATACATACATACGCATACACACACACACACATACATATATCTGTATACAATAGCAGAAGCAGGTCGATGATAGACTTTGTAGTTGTATCATCTGACCTGTGGCCGTATGTTTTGGACACCTGAGTGAAGAGAGGAGCGGAGCTGTCAACTGATCACCACCTGGTGGTGAGTTGGATCAGATGGCAGGGGAAGATGCCGCGTAGACCTGGCAGACCCAAACGCATAGTGAGGGTCTGGTTGGAATGCCTGGCAGAAGAACCTGTCAAGACGGTCTTCAACTCCCACCTCCGGCAGAGCTTTGTCCGCGTCCCGAGAGCAGTTGGGGACATTGACTCCAAGTGGGCCTTGTTCCACTCTGCGATTGTTGAGGTGGCTGTTGCTAGCTGTGGTCGCAAGGTGGCCGGTGCCAGTCGTGGTGGCCACCCCCGTACCCGCTGGTGGACACCAGAGGTTCGGGGAGCCGTCAGGCTGAAGAAGGAGGCCTCCAGGGCGTGGCTGGTCTGTGGGTCTCCAGAGGCAGCAGACTGGATAGCCAAGCGGGGTGCAGCAGTGGCAGTTGCCAAGGCAAAATCTCAGGCGTGGGAGGAGTTTGGTGAGGCCATGGAGAAAGACTATCGATTGGCTCCAAAGAGGTTCTGGCAAACTGTCTGGCGCCTCAGGAGAGGAAGGCAGCATGTCACGGGCTGTTTTTATTCTCACCATGTTTTTAGGTCTAAGCGTCTGCAGGTGGGCGAGTCTGGAGAGCAGGAGCAACAGCCAGCTGCAGCTCATCTCCAATCATCCTCCAGGGTGTATTTAAGGAGCTGACTTCCTCAACACTCTTGCCGGATGATTACTCAACCTGGGTAGTTCGAGCCAGAATAAAAATCTATTGTTAAGCTAAAGATTAAAACTTAGACTAAGAAATGTTTTTGTGAAGCAGATTTCTACCAGACTAGGACCAAGATTAATCCTTCCTCTCATCCCTTCAAGGAACCATCTCCTCCAGCCATTTCCAAGAACTTTTCATCAGCTCCACTTCATTCAGCTCCAACCCCTGGCTGTACGCTCTCCACTACGCCCCTACCGCCTACCCTTTCAAGCTCACCACACAGGAACCCTGAACCTCGTCTTCATCAGGACCCCTTTGCAACCCATCTTCATAGACCAACCAGTGCTCCTTCGCATGCCCTCTATCCACCTCCTGACAATAAGCCTAAACCTTCAGTTATCCATCCCATCATCTCTCACGGATATTAACCTTTGTCTCTCTTTTAGAACATCCTGGCACATCCTGCATCAGTTTGAGCAGCGCTTTGAGTTCTCCAGTCTAAAATAAATTATTTATTTTCTTACCTCCCTCTTCCCGTCTCTGATTCTGCATGTCGTGGGTCAAAAGAATACCACAGAACATGACATTGTGAACCGCTCACACTGTTTACAGTGGGGATGGGGAGCTGCTGACGTCAACGGGGGCTATAGTCGGACGGTGGAAGGAATACTTTGAGGAGCTCCTCAATCCCACCTATGCGCATTCCGAGGAGGAACCAGAGCCGGGAGACCTAGGATGGACTGTCCAATCTCTGGGGCAGAAGTTGCTGAGGTAGTCAAACAACTACACAGCAGCGGAGCCCCGGGGGTGGATGAGGTTCATCCTGGGTATCTCAAGGCTATGGATGTTGTAGGGCTGTCGTGGATGACACGTCTCTGCAACATTGTGTGGTCATTGGGGCAGTTGCTGTGGAGAAGCAGACTGGGGTGGTGGTCCCTATCTTTAAGAAGGATGACCTGAGGGTGTGTTCCAACTATAGGGGATCACACTCCTCAACCTCCCTGGAAAGGTTTACTCCAAGTAACTGGAGAGGAAGGTCCGATCGATAGTTGAATCTCAGATTGAGGAGGAGCAATGTGGTTTTCGTCCTGGCCGTGGAACTATGGACCAGCTCTATACCCTTGCAAGGGTGATGGAGGGGGCATGGGAGTTTGCCCAACCAATCCACATGTGTTTTGTGGATTTGGAGAAGGCTTATGACCGTGTTCCCAGGGGCACCCTGTGGGGGACGCTCCAGGAGTATGGGATGGGTGGCTTTCTGTTAAGGGCCATTCAGTCCCTTTACCAGAGGAACGTGAGTTTGGTCCACATAGCCGGTAGTAAGTCGCACTTGTTCCCGGTGAGGGTTGGACTCTGCCAGGACTGCCCTTTGTCACCGGTTCTGTTCATTACCTTTATGGACAGAATTTCTACGCCCAGCCGTGGTGTGGAGTGTGTCGATTTTGGTGGCAGGAGAATCTCGTCTCTGCTTTTTGTGGATGATGTGGTCCTCCTAGCTTCATCCAGCTCTGACCTTCAGCTCTTGCTGGGTAGGTTCGCGGCCGAGTGTGAAGCGGCTGGGATGAGGATCAGCACCTCCAAATCTGAGACCATGGTTCTGGACCGGAAAAGGGTGGCTTGCCAACTCCGGGTCGGGAGAGAGGTCCTACCTCAAGTGGAGGAGTTTAAGCATCTCGGGATCTTGTTCACGAGTGAGGGTAGGAGGGATCGGGAGATCGACAGGCGGATTGGTTCGGCGTCTGCAGTGATGCGGACGCTGAGCCGATCTGTCGTGGTGAAGAGGGAGCTGAGTCAGAAAGTCAGGCTCTCGATTTACCGGTCGATCTACGTCCCAATCCTCACCTCTGGTTATGAGCTTTGGGTAATGACCGAAATAACGAGATTGCGGATACAAGCGGCCGAAATGAGTTTCCTCCGTAGGGTGGCCGGGCGCAGCCTTACCCCCAAATTCCACTACCTCCGCTCCGCTCCGCTCCGACCCGCCCCCGCCTTCCGCAGCCTCTCGCTTCCGAACTCAAATTATATTATACCCGCTCTACAACGGCTCCGCTCCGGTGCGGAGACCTGAGGTGGGCAAACAAGCATGCGCTGGATTTTTGAGATCTTGTGATACAGTCCGAGCAATAAACGCGGAAGTTAGATCCAAACACCCGTTGTGTGGAGAAGCATCGGCATGAACTGTTTAATCTGCCCATCATTTGTGTTGAGACATCAGCAGTGCTTGGATCAACAAAGTGTGACTACTTTGATAGTGGAAACTGTATTTATGGCTTACTTTTGTGCATTTAAAGTTCAGCCGCCATTGATAGTTGTTAAAAGTTGTTAAACCTGTGCATATGAAACAAAAAACGCCTTTTGTTTATCGATTTATTGTGAAAAACGGAAGTTGTGCTTGCTCCGTTTCCTGTTGGGCCGTTGTGATTTCTGTCCATTTACTTCGGAGGTGCTCCGGCGTCCGGCGAAAATAGGATCGATTCTATTTTTGCCGGACGCTGGAACAGAGGGCGGCGCACGGCGCCGCACTGCCGGAGCACGGCCGCAGTAGTGGAATTGCTCTGATTGACTACAACGGGACCGATTGTGCTCCGGCGTTTGTGTCGGAGCGGAGCGGAGGTAGTGGAATTTGGGGGTTAGAGATAGGGTGAGGAGCTCGGACATTCGGGAGGGACTCGGAGTAGAACCGCTGCTCCTCCGGATCGAAAGGAGTCAGTTGAGGTGGTTTGGGCATCTGGTCAGGATGCCTCCTGGACGCCTCCCTGGGGAGGTGTTTCAGGCATGTCCTGCCGGCAGGAGGCCCCCGGGTCGACCCAGGACATGTTGGAGAGGTTACATCTCCAATCTGGTCTGGGAACGCCTTGGGGTCCTGCCGGAGGAGCTGGTGGTGGTGGCCGGGGAGAGGACGGTCTGGAGCTCCCTAGATGAGATGCTGCCCCCGCGACCCGGACCCGGATAAGCGGAGGAAGACGAGGACCATAGCAGAAGCAGCTCAGGAGGTAGAGCAGGATGTCCAGTAATCATAAGGTTGCAGATTTGATTCCGGCTCCAACCAGAGAATGCTGCTGTTGTGTCCTTGGGCAAAACACTTAACCCACCTTGCCTGCTGATGGTGATCAGAGGGACCGGTGGTCGGTGGACCCGCTTTGCCTCTGTCAGTGTGCGCCAGGGCAGCTGTGGCTACATCATAGCTCATACCCACACACATGTGGATGTGTGTGTGTGTGTGTGAATGGGACTGATTGTGTTGTGAAGCGCCTATAGCACCTATACCAATACAAACAACGGCCATTTACCAAGAAAACAGTATAATCATAAAACAGTAATCACATTTCAAAATCACTGTGACAACTTAAAACAGTAAATTTTAAACTTAAATGTGAAATGCACAAATAAACTTAAATTTGCAAAAAGAAGAAACAACGTTACAAACTGAGCAGTTACAATGCAGTAGGTGCAGCATAAGAAACAATCACTCAAAGGCTAACAACAACATAAAAGTTTTCAATTTTGATGTAAAGTACTGAATACTTATGGGGATAGGACCGGGGTATGTGCTGAATAATGTGGGTATGTACAGGGCACTTACAGTGGTGTGTACAGGGTAAATAAAGTTTAATAATGAGGTTGAAAACAGGATACTTAGGTAATTAAAGGGGTAACTGCAGAGTATTAATTGTAAGTACTATGTACTTAAGGAGGTAGGAAGAGTATGTATGTAATCAGTGGTAGTGATGTACCTCTTTAAGTACTTTGTATGTATATCGTACCAGCCTGTACACTTTGCTTGGTTTTATTTACTTACAAGTTTTGCTCTCCTTGCAACTTTAAATTTGCATTTATTTGTTTTTCAACTTAATATTTATTTGTACATTCATTTTGAATGGGGTGTGTTGGATGTGGGTCAAGGTGAAATACTTTATATGATGTAAAAGTAATGACTGGTTTGTGTCAATGCTAATTTTTATGACCAACAAATCAACACACTGACAAGTTTTTTATTACGTTTAAAAAAGAGTAAAATAGTTCCTTTTGTCCCTCCCTGACTGTCTAATTCATAGAATTAAATAATAGCCAACACATTATGTACCAGTTAATAACAATTATTGTCAAAAACACAAACAGTTATTTACAACACAAACAAATAAAAAATAACTTCTGAGAGAGTTGGAGGTTAAAGTGTATTTTGAAACTAAGCTTATGGGTAAAATAGTTCCTCAGTTATAAGAATACAAGTATGGGATGTGTTTTAGGCCATAGATGTAGACTTGACAGACAAACATGCATGCTTAAGCAGAATCAATGAAAACCCTTCTTCATTTGTAAGGTAAGAGGTTAGTGTTGGGGGGGGGGGGGGGGGGGGGGGGGGGGGTTCAAAGATCTGCCAGCAGGGGGAGACTTTGATCCAAGTGAAGGAGCAGCTCAAGCATCTTCATTCTATTGGTTTTATCTATTAAATGAAACATTTCCATCAAGTGTAGCTCATATGCCAATGGAGTCAACTTGAATGTTTTCATGCCAATTTCTTCTGTATTCAGCTGGAACTGGAGTCTTATTCACCTCATTGTTCAGGGAAAATGAATGGAATACAAACAATAGTGAGTTTTAAGGCCATGGGATGGGAGGAAGATGCAGAAGCAAACAGGTGCAATGAGTTTAGGAAAACAGGAAGTGTCATCCTGCTGCTGACATGCATGCTCTAGTATCACCTGCATTCACTTAAACCACGAGGAGAACTTGTGTTGAGGTCATGTGGGAAGTTCTTCCCAGCACACAACTGCATCCTACGTTTAGGAGGAGGGTTGGGAACAGGGCAAAACGTGCAAGAAAAAAAAGCGTTGCAAAATTATGAGTGGACAACAATAAACAAAAGGACCAATAATGAATTTTGAGTTTTCTTCTGTGCATAAACAAAGTCAGTGAAGGGTGACAAAAGCAGACTTGGGGTTAAAGGGGTCGTTTGTTTGAACAGGTCAAAAGGGTTGGGGGTCAAATCCCTCCTATTCATGACACCCCCAGTGTTTCCACACTAACACACACACATAGATGCACACATATATGTCCGGGGCAACTTTCCCAGCGTTTGTGGCTGCAGCTGGGAGAGTTCAACCTTGGGTGCACTAACTTTTCACTGTGAGGTCAAGGGTGGAGACGACATTTGTGTGAAAGGGGTGTGTGAACAAAGGAGAGAGGGACAAGAAGAGGCATAGCAAGACAAAAGAAAATCTGCATTGTGAGCAGACTGCAGAGCTAAAGACAGCATCATCTGAATCAGATCAAAAAGCCGTTTA